GAACTGGGCATTGAACTCAGGTCCTTGCGCTTGCCAGGGAAGCGCTTATTCCACTGAGCCAGCTCCCTGGTCCCTAGGGTCACCTTATGATAATATAGAATTAACTTACAAATATGATGTATGTCTAATAGTAGCTGGCACAGAGTAGTGCTACTCTCATATGTGTTAACTGATATTCATTCATTCATTCATTCATTCATTCATTCATCCATCCATCCATCCATCCATCCATCCACCCATTTAACCATTTATCTACGAAGCTAATCATCAAAATATCCATTCAACATTTGTAAATGGTTTGCTTAGTGACTGGCCCATTTAAAACCATAAAATTCCTTTAGAAATTATTCAAGAAGGGCCTGGGATATAGCTCACTGGCATAAGTGCCTGCCTTGCAAGTGCAAGGCCCCGAGTTTGATCCTTGATACCTCAAAAAAAAAAAAAAAAAAAGATTCAGTAATTCATACTTCTAATACATTATTTGTAAGTCATATGTGAATTTGTACTGTTCTATAAAACGTTTTACCCTAATTTCTTGTTTATCCAGCCACTATAGTACAGCAGGAGGTCAGTGATTGGCCTTTCAGGTGACTGGGTCTCTGAACCCAGTTTCTGTGTGGTCTTCCCATGGGAATATTAAATGATGAAACTTAATTCCAAAGTCTCCTGGAGCCACAGGCACATCTATATTCCCACAAGTCAGAGAACAGACACCCCCTTCTTCTCTCAATGGATTTTGTGGGGACAGTTTCCAAATATCTGCCTCACTGTTAGGTACTATGATTTATTAATAATGACAGCAAGGAACACTATACATTCTGAACTTCACTAGAGGGAACAACTGCCCACACATACTCTAACTCCCAAATGAAAGGTCTGTCTACAAGGCTGGTGGTGCCTGCCATTCTATGTGACAACTCCATGTGGTGGGTCACTTCTTTTGGCACCATGTGCCTCTGCCCCCAACTGTGGCCTTCCTGTCTGCAGGCCTCATGACAACATTCACAATACCCCTTTCAAATCCATTCACACCGATGCTGCAGAATTTTCAGACTGAATGATTCTAAGCCTAAGGCATATAATTTAAGCAGTAGTGTAAAGGATGCCAAAATGCCTTGTCCTAACAATGACACAGTGACATAAATGGATGTCCTTGGGCATTCTGGGGACAGTGAGCCTCTGAGTAGCTATGAGTCTTAAAAAGTGGATGAAATAAAAATTTGCATAAACTGTGACCACCAGGACCTTTAGCTTTGGATGTCTGCTTGCCATACATTGATGTCATTCAAGAGCATCAGTCTTGAGTTCAAACGGTCCTGGTTTGAAATTTAGACATGGCAGTGTCCTGGGAAAGTTACCTAAATCCCAGGGGCCTGTTTCTTCAACTATAAAGTGGGGTTAATAAAGTGTACTGTGGAAGAGGGTAGCAACCGACAGGTTGAGTCAAGAAGGCAATGCCAGTTTTCTGCCTAGCATGATGTCCGAACACAGTGATAATGGTGCTGTCTGTCCTTGCACCCCTCCCTTGCACTCAGAGCTGTGGATTTCTGGGCCCCAATAAAGGCCACCAAAGATGGAGCTGGGCCTGCACATCTGATGGTGTAAAACAGAAACAGATCAAATGCCTACTGTTTTTCTGGGAAGATAATCCTTTAAACTTGCTGGCCCATTAGCCAAGGGAAGAACCCATCTTTACAAAAGACAGCATGTTAGGCTATTTAGAGGCCTCATTCATCCCGCAATATCATTCATGCATTCATTGATTCACTCATTGATTCATTCATTCATTTATTTCACTGGGCACTGAGTTCTGAACTAAGCCTTGCAGGAGAGGCAGGGTCTCAGTAGGGGAGCCAAGGAGGGAAGAGGAAGGAGGGGCAGGCCAGGCAGGGGTGGGTAGGGACTCTAGAAGCATCAGCAGAGGTGAAGTGTGGGGGCGGGAGGCTCAGCTCAGAACCCTGCCCCTTCACATGGCCGTTTTCTATCTGTCCCAGCACTCCCATGATTCTGGGTGAGTCTACCAAGGACTGCAAATCACAGAAGCGACAAGCAAAGCTGGGCTCTGGCAGCCAAAATGCTGAGTGCAGCACCTAATTTGCATTTTAAGTATAACAACACATAATAGAAGACAAGGCACCCGCAATGCCCTTTAGAAATATGTCACAAGTCCCACACATGCTGTCTTTATCACAAGTCCAAGTTACAGTGCTCAGAAAAACTGGTCTTCCTTTAAAACACTGCTCTAATTTTATTTTTTCTGATTAAAAAGATAAGTACTTATCATGGAACACAGAAATACAAAATTAAAATAGAAAGTAATGGCAACAATAAAAATAACTGTTTTCTACAAACTTTAGCATTTTGGTACACTTCCTCAGTCTGTTCTAGTGACTTAAACTTGCAATGTCTAAGCACAGAAGTATACTCATTTTTTTTTTCATACTAGAAGTGCCACTTTCAGTATCATATTCTGATTTTTTGTACTTTGTTCATGTTTTATGTAGATTCTTCATACTATTTATATAGTAATTTACTTACATATTTACTCCCTTATAGTTAAATATTTGAGGTTGCTTTTATTTTCTGCCACTGTAAAAACTTCTATGATAAACATCTTTTGTATCGATCCTTATCCCAATTTTTAATCATCTCCTTAGCTGTATTCCTAGACTGGGAATTTGTCACTTGCAAAGGCTATGATGATTTGAAGTCTCTGATGCATTTTGGTAAGCTGAAGGGCCCATTTTTCAACCCATGTTGACTTCCTTTCTGCACAGTTATTAAGATTAGAAAGAGGCAAGTAGAACTTGGGGTCTAAGTAGAGTCGGAACCTTGAAGGGCCAAGTGGCCCCTGGAAAAGTGCACGTGAAGTGGGCTCTGGGACAGCTCCTATGAAGGAGGGCAGCCTGGCTTGGTTTTGCTGTGCAGCGAGTTCTGAACTGAATCTTGCTGGAGAAGCAGGGCCTCAGTAGGGGAGCCAAGGAGGGAAGGAGGAGGAGGGGCAGGCCGGGCAGGGGTGAGTAGGGATTCTAGAAGCATAAGCAGAGGTGAAGTGTGGGGGCGGGAGGCCCAGCGCTCGGCCCCTTCACCCTGGCTGTTCTCCTTCTTTCCCAGGAGGTTGCTGTCTTTGGTTGCTGTCTTTTCCCAGGCAGGAGATCCTTCACACTGATGCAGCACCCCATCTTTGTGTCCTACTCTGCCCTACTGTCCGAGATGCGCTCTACCTGTACAGCCTGCAGTCGGTGTGCAGCTGCCTCCTCCACACCGCTTTCCTGACCTGTGCATAGGCCTGGCTCCATTCTCAGCCTGTCTCCTGGACTGAGGAGGCCCCTGCAGAACATATGTGGGGCCTTTCAGAAGGAGATTCTCACCCAGAGGAGAGGTAGAAAGGGGCCAGGGAGATGGCTCAGTGGAATAAGCGCTTGTCTGGCAAGTGCAGAGACCTGAGTTTGATCCCTGGTTCCGCAAAACAAAACAAAAGAAAACAAAAAGAAAGGAAGCAGAAAGTGATGGACAACAGGCACTGAGTCCTAATGGGTTTGTAGGGGAGAAGCCTATGCAGGTAAGGGAGAGGCAGAGAGACCAGAAGACACAATAGCCATCATGCTGGTGGATTATACGGGAGGCACTGCAATCCATAGTCTTAGTTACGTATACATCCCCAAACTGGCAGCAAAACAAACCAGAGTGCTTATTAATCACCATGCTGTGACTCAGGAGGTCTGGAAAAGGCCTGAGAGTCCGTTTTTGACAATTTCTACAAATGACTACTGTGTGTGGATCTGGGACCAGCATCTGGGAACTGCAGGGGCTACTTTCCAAGTTCTTTTATTTATTTTTAAATTTTATTCATTCATTCACTCATTCAGTACTGGGGGGTACAGGGTTTGAATGCAGGGCCTTCGCACTGAGTTCCACTCCCAGCTTGTTTCAATTTTTCATTCTGAGACCCAGTCTCGCTAAGCTGCTAAGTTGCCCAGACTGGGCTTGAACTTGTGCTTCTCTTATCTCAGCTTCTCAGAGTGCTGGATACAGGCACATGCCACCCTGCCCAGTTCCAAGTCCTTTTAGAAGATTGTTTTCTTCATGCTTTAGGAGAGTTAGCTTTGAAAAAATAAAAACTAACAGGCTTTAGGAAAAAGAAAAGGTTCCGGGTCAGCCAAATAGCTCAGCAGATTAAAATGCCTGCAATCAGGAGCAGGGGCTAGGGGTTCGATCCCCAGGCCTGCCATGCTGGCCCTCTCCTGGGGCGTGCTGAGATGGCAATTGAGACTGGTGTGGTGGCCTGTGCCTATAATCCCAGCTCTTGGGAGGCTGTAAACTGGAGAATCACTATGAGTCTGATCTAGTAGTGAGACCCTGAACACCTTGTAGACCCTTCCCTAAAATGCAGAAAAAAAAAAAAAAAAGAAAAGAAAGGTTTCAAAGTTGTCAGAGAAATGGCTGTAGGCTTTCTCTTCCCTGTCAAGTCACAATGCATAGGGATATAATAAAGATTCAGAAAAGTCCTGCAGTAAATATGCTATTTCAGGGGGACTCATCCTTGGGAGTATTGAATCCTCTGATCCAAAAGTAGTATCATACCAACCAAAGTTGGAGAACCTATAGTGGAGAACTGAAGATGGCCTGCTGAAGCTTGGCATGCTGATTCTCTGCTCACAGGACCTCCTGCCCTCCCACCACCCAAGGAGCTCCTGCTTATTTATTTGCAGAAGTGGGTTATGCCTTTGACCATGGCTACTCATACTCTGAAACCACAGGCAACCCGCTTCCATCAAACACTAGTAGAGGACAACAGAGTTACAAATTAGGAAGACAATGCAAGTTGACTTTGTGTATCTTAAAAACGTGTTTCCTTTTCTGAGTAACCCACTGAGTAACCACATGTTTTATAATGGCCCATTTTGAATTTTAAAAAGTGAAGCATTTTCAAAGAGCCCCAGCAATGCTCACCAGTTTATCCCTGTGTAGCCCTGACTAATCCATGTCACAAGTATAGGTCACAAGGTTAAGTCAGCTCCTTTGGGCAGCAAACCCCATGACTTTCCACAGGAATCCTCACCACCTCCCTTCCTTCTCCTGCAGATTCTGAGGCTTGGTACCCACCTGTAGGGTCTGAGGGTGTCTTACCAGAGTCCAGGCCCTCCATCTGGGTTCCATATCTGAGCAGTTGGCTCTGATGATGCCTGCAGTGTAAACATACAGGTTCAGGTGTATCATCCTCCAGCTTCTGAATCCACCCAGGTGTGTCAGGACTTAAATATCAACCCGATCCTACCCAACTTAGTTTGGTCATTCTGCAAATATTTGTTGAGGGCTACTATGTGCCAGGCAGCGTGCCAGGTGCTAGGATTCCACCTAGGTCCTCCTGGAGAATCCTATCCAAGAAAGTCTACTACCTTCCATTTGCCCTGGGTAAATGTGGGAAAGTGAGTCTAATCCTACTCCTGTAACACTTTCTTCATACATTTTCATTTGGAAGACAGGATTGGTAATGCCTCATTTTTAGACTTTTGTGAAGGGAGATGAGCTATGCACAATCAAAACATAGGTATAGGATGGCCCATAGGAGCTTTCATTAAAGATCCTTGCTCTTAGTATGAACTAATGTTCGAAAAAGCAATACAGTGAGGGCTGAGAGCTGGGCCTCAGGCCAGACAGTCTGAGTTGAGCCGCCTTTCTCACTGGCCAGCCATGTGGCCCCTGGTGAGTGCTTTCAGGTCTGTGTGCATGATTCTGCATCTGCAAATGGGGTGCAGTGACAGTGCCCACTTCCAATGGGAGGTTACGAAGATGACTGGAGTTAACTCATGCACACTGCCCCGAGTACTTCAGTGTGACTAGACTTATGCCAGTCTGGGATGCTCAGTAATCTGGCTTCCCCAAATCATGAGGCACCTGTACCTTCTCCTCTTTTCCAACACAAGTAATGCCTGGACACCCTTTCTTGTCTCAGGCTGATCTTCCAGCTTGTACTTATGACTGAATGCATTCATTCGAGTTGTATGTGTGAGGGATCCCTGCCTGGTGAGAGAAGTGTGTGCCTCATAGCCAGAGCTGGGCTCTGCTTGTGTGACCCTGCACGAGTCACTGACACCGAGTCCTGCTGACCTCATCCATTAATTGATCAGAAAAGTGAAATGCAACCTTATGTCCAACAAGAACCACAAGCACACAAGAGAAAATGCTTTTTCCCTGCAAGATATGGGGTGGGGGTGGGGGTAGGTGGGGGTGTACCCTACTGGCAATCATCACCAGGAGGTGTGTGCCATACCTGAAAAGCTCAGTGCCCTGCACATGGAAGGTGCTCAGCGGACTTGAGCTGCTCTTAGGACCACTGCTCTCTATCTTCTGCCTGATGCCAACAGGCCCCTCATCTATGCATCTTTGTGGTTTCTTGGAATGTGCCCATCTCCAGTCTACTGAGTTCAGGAATGGTGGAGGAGTAGATGAATACAATATATCTAGGCCTGGCCCAAAGCCCTTCCAATGGTTTCAGAGATATGGCTGAGGTTTTTTTTTTAAGAGCCTAGAATCTTTATTGAGAGCTAGTTGTGTGCCATGCTGTGCTAGCACTTACTCTGTAGAGTTTAGTCACCTTCACTAAAGCCCAAAAGCAGTCATTACCATCCCTGCTTTCAAAGTGTGTGTTGTGAACTCAGTCTGTTTATGAGCCTTTTGGGCTTCATTTTCATGGCCCTTTCACTGCTTTGGTCTCCGTAAGCTTCCTCTTTACAGATTTCCTCTTGGGTTTGTCTGAGCTTTCATCAGACTTTGACATATGTTTGAGACTCTTCTCCACTTTCTAACTTTAAATGTTAGGACTAGGAGTATGTTACTGATCCTTTCTGAGATTCCATGTTCACATCTGTGAAATGGGGCTAAACCCACCTACCTTTTAGAGTTGCTGAGCAGACCAGATATAGTAAAGAGCCTGGTACTCGTGGCAGGTGCTGTATTAAAGATGGTGATGGTTACTGCATGTACCTTGAAGCTTTTAATTCAAGTTAAATCTGCTTTGAATATTATCTGGATGTTGGAATTTTGTTCTATAAATTATTACTTGTACTTTCTGTATGGACTTCCATACTGTTTTTTGGGGAAGGGCCCGTTGCTTTCTCTTGCTACCTGCCTGAGTGGTACCCAGCTCTAGGCCTGTGAACTGACCCTGGGAACATGTTCTCTGTGTCCTCAGCTCTCCTTGGTCTCCAGAGAGAGAGTCACCAGAAAGTAGGGTCTTCATGTTGTGACCTCATGTTCCCAGCTAGCATGTTACTACTTTTGAAGAAGGTCACAGCAGGCCTTCGGAGTTGAGCAGACGGCAGCTCCACCTCTAGCTTACTGGTTGTGACTGTGATGAACTTAGCCTTTCTGAGCTTCAGTATTTTCAGCTTTAAAAGGAGGGCAACATGTGGTTGTATTCGCACGGGGCTTATAAGACACTGCTGATGGGTGAAGGAGCACACAAGATGGCACTGTGCCCAAGGGCCTCTCCCATAACAGGGGGAAGTTTCCACATGCTCTGAAGACATAAATATTGGCCTAGATTTACATAAGTTAGCATCAAATAAACAATCTGATGAGGAGAAACAATAGCCCTTAATAAGCCCCACAGTGACTTTGTATTTGTTACTGCGTCAGTGTGATGTATATTCAGTTAACTTTATGAAGAGAATACTAAATGGAGAAACTGACTGGGTGTATTTCTACCATGCTTCTAAAACCACTTGAATTTACAAATTTGGGACAGATTTTTGACCTTTAAAACACCTTAGTCAGCTATTGTTAAAACTGTGTTTACTATATTAATGACTAACACCCATTGTAGTACAGTATTCTTCTAAGACCCTTTAAAATATATCGATGGCTAGTGTACCCCACCAAATCAAAGCCTTGGAGGTGAGTATTTTTAAAAAAATTTTCCAGGTGATTCTCACAGCAGGGTTTAGATCACTGCTTTGAGTGGATCTCAGTACTGATCAGGAGTGGATTTCACACGTTCAGTGCTTGACATGGGGATCCTCACCAGCCCTGTGTTAGAATTAGCAGGGACCTCTTTAAACTCCACGCCCCTCCCAGAGATCATATCTGTGAGTGAGACTCAGGCATCTGTCCTTTCAACACCTCCAAGGTCGCAGCTGGCACTGAGAAGCACTAGACTAAAGGACTTTAAAGTAAAAAAGAGAAAAATAATGTGTTCAGTAAAATCTGTGCTCATCCCTGGATTTTGTAGCAGAAGCAGTAGCAGCATTACCTTGCTGTGGCTAACACCTAGGTGCTCACAGATGGCTTTATTGGTTTTAAGGACAAATCATGGCAAGCATTACAAGTGCAGGGAGGGCAGAGAACATTACAAGCACCTACTACATTATCTACAACTAGATAATTTGCCTATACCATCTCACTTAATTTGCACTGTGTTTTGTGAAATAGGTGGTGACATTCTCATTTTATCAGGTGCAGAATCAAGGCTCAGGGACGCCACATAATTTACACCAAGCCATTCAAGTAGGCTATAAAACCCATGCCTTCTGCAGCACTGCCTCTTGAAAGTTGGAAGGAAAAAAAACCCCTTATTTCTGACTACACATAAAAGCTAAATGACTTGTTGGATTTTCTGTTGTTCTGCTTCTACTCCCTTCCCTTAGCCCAGATAAATAACAAATGACTAAAGCTCATCCCATAAGATAATAGAGTTTGTAAATTTATTCCATACACATTTTTCAACTTGAGTTTTTCCTTACATAGATGGGTAGTTAAAGATGAAGGGAACATGTACCTTAACAATTATTTCATGTTTTGTCTCCTTTTAGTTTGGCAGCAGTTTCCAAAATGCAAATAAAATTGTTAAATGCTTGGAAGTGGGTCTTTCCCCCAAAAAGGTAAGTAATAAGAACCAGGACCTAGAATCTATATGTTTAGAGAAAACACAAACACTTCTCCGAAGTCCTGAAAGTTATTGGACCTTGTCACTTTCTCTGTGTCCCTGACAACCACAGCAGTGCCCAACACAAGCCAGCCCACAGTTTGCATTCTCTTCTGGTAGAGTGGCTGCTGTTAATGAGGAGGCAGGCCCTACTGCCTTCCTCTGGTAGCCAGGGCATGGGGAACTCCCTTTTTTCCTACCAACTCCTTGCGAAGTTTCCAGATACAAGTCAGTGACACCCTGCTGAACATGCAGGGCTGGACTGAAACTTTACACGGCTCTATTACACTGAACACTAAGAGAAATTCCAAAGACTTTTTTTTTTTTTTTTAAATCCTGGCTATTTCTAAATTTAGTCTTATTTTTCCTTCTACTTCACATAAAAGTTTGGATTTAGGGAATCTAAGATTCTTTGCAACTAGAAAAGAGATTCTTAAATAGATTCAGTTTTCCCACCTAGTTAATGATGAAAAAAAAGTAAAAATCCTCACTTAATGATAGGAGGCACTTCCAGTTCAGTACATACTGAAATATAGTAAATATTTTTTAAAATACTCAGTATATTTTATATTCTCATCTTGCAAGTGAGAAATGGGTCTCAAGTGAATCGTTGCTCAATGTCACACAGCTGCTAAGTGGTGGCCCAGCCCCCATGCCACGGCTTCTGGGAAGCAGTCAGGCTAGGTGTTCTCACCAAGTGGTTCCTGATGGACAGTGGTTTTGACTTATTTTCACTTGAAAACCTCTCTGAAAATCCAACAGATCTCTCTCTCCCTAAGCAGAGACACTTCTAAGGTCTTGGCTAAGCAGTTCTGGCTGAAGCCCTGCCAAGCAATCTGTCCTGACTTCTACCATGGATCTGTGACTCCCTCACATAAGAAGATGGCACTTTACCTCAGCACATTCACTGTCTCCATCCACTGTGCCTGCTCACTCTCCCAGGAGTCTACCCGAATCCAGTCAGATGACTGCAGGGCCAGACGGGCCATGGCCACTCGGTGATGGGAAGACACCAGGTCTTTCTTCCTGTAGTTGTCATTGACAGGTGAGATGATGCCTTCCATCACCTGGTACAATCCTAGATAAGGGACAGTAGTGAGGCTGCGTGTTCAAACAGATGTTTACTACTCGTTAGCACGAGTTCAGGCAGACACTAAAAATCTCTGCCTGAGTGGGAGCAGGCCTTGACGTTCTCTGTTGGTGGACAAAGGCAAGACACAACCCTGGCAATCACATGCCATCCTCTAGGGTCTTCTACAACTCAGAACAGCACTTCTATTGAGAGGAAGGTGGGGCCCAGGAAATAAGCCCGTATAGAGCAACACAGACAGTAAGGGTCAGAACGTGATGACCACTGTAATGCTCCCGTCTGTGGGAGAAGAGACATATACTCTGTAGTTTCTTAGGCCAACTAGGGTATTCTGATGCTGGGCAATGAGGGATGGGATTTATATGAGTCAGGTTTGGTGGAAGATGGGACATGGATGGACGACGCAAGCCTACAGTGACTTCGGAGGGGTGTGCTATGTGGGTTGTGTGATCAGCAAAGGAAAGTGCATGCAGCACTTGTGAACCCATGTGCCATTTATGCGATGAGAGAGAAACGTTAACGTGTTAAGGAAGCTCCTAACACTTGGGCATTAGTTACAGTAGCCGAGCCTGTATGATCCTGACAGGGTGACTTTAGAAGTCCCTGCTAATCCTACATTTCAAGCTTCTGTCATGCATGGATATTGAATTTTATCATTTTTTTCTCTGCATCTCCTGAAATGATCGTGCAATTTTTTCCCCTTTGGTCAGTTTAACATAGTGTTGTCTTGGTTATGGTTTTCTCATTGCTGAGACAAAATACCTGACACCCAAAATTAAGGAAGGAAAGGCTTATTTAGCTCAGAGTGTGAGGAGGTTTCAGTCCATAATTAGCTGGCTCCAAGGCACACGGCAGAGGGCAACAGTTCATGGTGGCAGAAAACAGCAAAAGCAACAAGAGCAAAAAAGGAGAAGCAGTGAAGAAGCCTCTCTTTCCTTCCCTTCTATGGTATGCAGGCAACCCACCCCAGGGCAGGTGGGTGTAGCACGCAGACCCATAATCTCAGCATTGGACCATGAATCAAACAAAAACTCTAGAAGCCTGCCCCATGCCTGTCTGAGGCACTGGAGGGACATCTAAACATGAACTATAATAAATGTGCTGCATTAATTTTCTAAGCTGAAAATAACACTCCATTTCTGAGCTAAAGCTGATAGAGTATCTTTTTTATGCACAGATTTGCTAACTTTGCCAGTTGTTTCTGGGAAGGTTGACAGGTCTACATGGTCTCCTTTCTCTTATTGTCCTAATCAGGTTTGGGGATCAGGGTTATGCTACTCTAGCAAACAGTGTGGGAGAGCTTCTTCTGCACTCTTAGGAGGGCTTTTGTGGAGGACTGAACATTTCTTCTTGAGTGCTTGTTAGAACTCACCAAAGTCTTAAGAGGCTGGAGTTTAACTTGTGTGAAAAATTTTGACCACTAAGTTTTTAATGACTATGATTCAGATTTTCATTTCTTCATTATAATTTTTGGCAATCTAAAATTTTTCTAAGAGTTTGCCCATTACATTTAAAATTAGAAATCTATTGGTGTAAGGTTCTTCACAAAGTTCTCTTGTTTGTTGGATGTCTGTACCATCTTCAGGGGTGGCCTTTTTTTCCCCTTCATATTGGTTGTGTCTACTTTGGTGCTAGAGGTTTGTTATTTTATTAGTCTTTTCCAAAAACCAACTTTCGGCATATTGATCTTCTCCACTGAATAGCTATTTTGTTTCACTAATTTCTGTTCTTACTTTCATTGATTCTACCACATTCTCTTGGTGTAGTTTTGCTGTTCTTTTACTCACTGCTTGTGATATGTGCTCAGCTAACTAATTTGCAGTTCATCTTATTTCCTAAAATACACAGTTCAGGCCTTAAAATTCCCCTCTGAGTCCATCTTTTCTTTTACCCCACAAGTTTTGATAATATTTAATAATATAGTTTTTCCATGATCATTCAGTTATAAACATTTTCTAATTTCTATTTTTGTATCTATTTTGATCCATGAATTAGAATTGTGCTTCTTAGTTACCAAACATTTTGTGGTTTTGGGATCATATTTTTGTTATTGATTTCTAGTTTAGTTCCACTGTAGTAATATAACATACTTTAAACTGATTCAAGCACTTGAACAAAGTTGATTCTTGCTTTATGTCCCAGTAGATGGTCAGTCGTGGTAACTGTTCAATGTGTCCTTAAAAAGAATATGTATTCTGGGGCTGGGGAGATGGCTCAGTAGAATAAGCACTTCCCTGCAAGCGCAAGGGCATGAGTTCAATCCCCAATAAAAAAAAAAAAAAAAAAAATGTATCCTGTGGTTGTTCAATATAATGTTCTAGCCATTCAGTTGTGATTTCTGATTGTTTTGTTTAAACCTATGTTCTTACTGAGTTTTCTGCCTGCCTGTAGTATTAATTATAAGAAGTTTTAAAGTTTCCTATCCTATGATGGATTTTTTTAATATTTTCTTTTAGTTTTTTCCACTTTTGTTTGATATATTTTAAGGATATATGATTACATGCCCACAAACTTATAATAGGTATGTATCTTCCTGTGAATAGAGCCTGTCTCCAATATGATAGTTTGTTGTTAAATTTAAAGTGTAACGTGCAAGGAGCCGGGAAGATAGCTCAGTTGAATAAGTGCTTGCCTGGCAAGTACAAGGGCCTGAGTTCAATCCCTAGATCAGCAAAAAACAAAACAAAACAAAACAAAACAAAACAACCAAAAAACAAAAAACAAAAAGAAGTGTATCTGTCTAATTGCATAGCCTCTACAGTTATACTTTGATTAGTACTTGCATGGCATATTTCCACCCTTCATTTTCAACCTTTCTACACTTTTTATGCAAGACTTTGTACACAGCCTAATAAATTGTCGTCTGACATTTTTTTTGGACTTTTAATCTGGCCATTAGGTTCCCCTACATTTATTTATTTATTTTAGTACCAGCAATTGAACTCAGGACTTTATGCTTGCCAGGCAGGTACTTGCACCACTGAGCTATATTTCCAGCCCTCACTTACATTTAATGTGAATGCTAACATATTTGAATATATTTAAAGCTGTTATCTTATTTTGTGGTTTTTTTTGATCACACATATTGTTTCTTTTATTCTGTTTTCCTGACTGCTTGGATTTTTAAATTTCATGTTTAAAAATATGAGAGCAGAAATTACAGATTCTGTCTTAAAGCCAAAGTAAATGCAGATCTCCATTCTCCTGTTCAGTAAGAGGGCTTTGGGATTCTAACTCTCTTTATGACCCTCCTGACTTCTACGCCATTGTTACTATAGTTTTCACTATCTTCCTCTTTTCCCTATTAGACCTGAGTATTTTCTTTTATGTTACCAATGCACATTTAAATGTGCTCCTGTATTTGCCCTTTTTTGCATTTAAGTTTCTTCCTACATATAAGACTTTATATTTGGGAATCACTCTCCTTCTGATAAAATACATTCTGTAGTTTCCTTATGTAAGTGACTTCACTCTTGGAAGACATTTTCAGATTCTCAGTCTTAGAAAACGGTTACACTGAGTATAAAGAAATTATCTGCGGGCTGGAGAGATGGCTCAGTGGTCTAAAGCACCTATTTGAAACAAGCTTGGCAAAGCACAGGGACCGTGGTTCAATCCTCCAGCACCACATGCCAGTCAGCCCCGCCCCCTGGCGGGCTGAGCTGGCCACACACACACACACACACACAATAAATAAATGTAATAAATAAAAATAAATAAATATTTAAAAAAAAAAGAAATTATCTGCAATATTTTCTTCTATAGTTTGAAATTACTGGTTTTCATTATTGGTTTTGACAAGCCCTCTATAAGTCAAAGTATCATTCCTGTGAAGTAATCTTTATTTTATGATTGACTTTTAAACATTTTCCTTGCCAACCTGTGCATTTCTTTCTACTACCCCATTTGGGATCACCGAATCTCGTAAATCTGTGCATTGGTGTCTTTTACCAGATTTGGAAAATTCTTAGTTATTATCTCTTCAGAAATTACTCTTGTCTGCTGTCATTCTTTTTCTTTCAGTCCTTTTATCGTCTGTGGAGCCTGAGGTTTCTTCTCTACTGGAATTTATAAAAATCCCGCTGTGCTCCATTCTGGATGATTTCACCTGATCTATATTCCAGTTCACTAAGTTTACATTTTGGTTCTGTTGATATGATTCGACATCATCAAGCTTTCCTTCATTAGCATCTTGTAATTTTCAGGACACAAATTCTGTACATGATTTTTAAGATGTATACCTAAATATTTTATCTTCTTAGATAATTTTAAATGATATTTAAAAAATTTTGATACTCACTATTTGTTATATGTTATTATATATATGCATTAATCTTTGTCTTGTGACTGAAATTCATTCTAGGAAACTTTTTGTAGATTTAGTGAGGTGCTCTCTACATGTCACAGGCAAATAAAAAACATTTTATTTTTTCCTTTCCAATGAATACACCTCTTGTTCTTTGAGACCTTTCCTTTATTTCTAATGTAAACATTTAGTGGTAATAATTTCTCTTTTTGCTATGCTTTGACCATACCAAACATATTTTGCTTTTTTGCATTTTTACTTTCATGCAATTCTCCATCTAAAAAGTTCTTTTGAAATGTTCTTGGTCTGTGCATTATTTAGAAGTATGGTAATTTCCAAGTATTTCAGTATTTTCTTGTTCTTATTTTCCAGCTTTTATTTTTTATTAGTCTATATCAACTCACCTGAATTATTTCTGCATTGCCTTTCCTGTTTGATTTTAGCTTTATCCCATTATGGTCAGAGACCATACTCTATCTGGTTTCAAATTCTTTTAAACTTGTTGAGATTTGTTTTATGGTTCACAATATGGGCTACCATAGTGGATATTCCACCCATGTTTATAGAAAAATATGCTTTCTGCTTTTGTTGGGTCATGAGTTTTCTGAACATCAGCTAGAGCTTGCTAACTGCACTGTCCATGTCTCCACACGTGTGCTGATTTTTGGCCCAGCAGTTCTGT